GACAGCGACATTATCTGCATACTGTTAGTTTTAGATTTTAAAAACCTTTAACACATTTTTATTTGTTTAAAGTTGTGAATTCTTGTCTGGCACAAGGCTGTTTTCCAGCAAAGGGCAAGTTTAGAGAAGAAAAAAAAAACTGCTATGGGAGCTGGTTTTTAACGACACAGAGTGAGTGGGGCAAAATGCATTTAATTCCAGGGGCAGCCGGCTGGTAAAAGGACAGTGGCATTAAGTGCCACCAGCGCTCTTGAACGCATAGGCACACATTGACAATAATAGGGGCATATTTTTTGACGCATTGCGTTTGCCACTAGTGTGTTGTGGCCATAAGGTGATGAACATGGTAAAAATTATACAGGCAAAACATCAGTAGTATATATTGTCTGCTATCAGAACTGTCACCTCATTACACTCTGTTTCCATCTTCAGTCTGACATTGCATCCAGTCTAAGTGATGTTAGATGTGGGGGAGGGGATTTAATTTTCCCTAACCAGTCACTAGAGACCAACATATCTGCCTGAATCGAACATCATTTTGAGTCTACACTGATGTGTAGCCATGCAAATATGCTGGTTTTGTCAGAGTTATAAGAGTGGAGTGGAGCGCAGTAAAAACAAACTACAATATCAGGCGATTCAGAAGAGCCTTGATAGTGGCCTCCATCTTGTTTATAGCAGTCGCCTTAGTGATTATTACTCCTCACTGGTAACGGCACAATGTTCGACAACAGCTTGACAACAGCTTTAGTCCTGTCCATTGCACTGATTGGCTAATTGAGTCACCCCACTGTTTTTTATTTTAACTGAGAAACTGCAGTTTTATGTCACAATACCAAACAAATCCGTCAACTCGGACGTGGTGGAGTGGACTGGTGAAAATGTCTGGAAGCATACAAGTACCACAAGATTATACAAGTGACAAGTGCAGTACTCGTGTAAATATACTTGGTTATATTCATGTTTGTTCTCTATCAACAAAGGTTAAATATATATTATACATCAAATGAACATCAGATGTCAGGAAAGAACAGAATCCTCTGAGTTTTATAGATGCAGCAAAGGAGCAGAGTCATGAGGCCAGTATGAGTATGAAGAGGACATTTTCCACACTGTGTGTTTATGGTTCTGGGCAAACAGGTAATTGAGCGAGCTCCCTGGAGGCCTGGCCGCCACCTCTGAACCACTCCTGTCAAATGCATGGCTAACCACAGTTACTCTATTTCTCCTTAGCACTATTGTGCTCATTTTCTTCCTGTCTTTATGGGTCTCTCTCCCCCTCTCACTCTCTCCCTCTCTCCACCCTCTTTGTCTCTTCTAAAAATACATTCACACTTGAATAACAGAGGAAGGTGCTCCCCTGTGTTTTATTATGTGATGTTTGACCCTAAAAGGTCTTTTGACAGGCGCAGCAGAAAACATCTCTGTCGACAGGAGAGGTCTAAAAAGACAGCAGGGTTATTATGCATGATGGCACAGGGTGGCTTTCTTTCCTAACTGCCGCAGGCCGAGCTTTTAGAGTACAGACAGGACATTCATCTACACACACACACACACACACACACACACACACACAGACTCACACTCACTCATATAATAGTTTCAACAAGGATGTTTCCATACATGAATAAACAGTCAAACACTATCTGGACACACTAACGTCAAGTCTTAAAATAGATTCCCTCCTCTCTGTGTCTGCTCTTCTTCTCCTCACTGAAACATGTAGTAGAATATGAATGAAATCCCTTCAGTGTGAAGGTTCCCTCAGCAGACTGCTGCAGCACCAGCTTCACTTTGTTAATTCAACAATCTTTTTTCTTTTCCTACCCTCACAATTTCCATAAAATATTTCTGAGTCACTTGAGATACAAAGATTTGATTGCACAAAATACCTAATTTCCTCCACATGTGAGGAGGAATACTGTGTGTAGCTTTTACAGTGTGCAAAGATAAAGTGGAGCAAAAAGTTTCTTTGCAGATAGAGATATCCTACACTGTGGGAAATGACTCTTACTTCAGGGTGTCAGTGACACAACAGGCACATGCTGCAGAGGCACTGATTGTCTTGTCAGAGACCTGCAGTGAAAACAGTGCCTCACATCTGTTGTTTTGCAACATTAGAGGGAAAATAAAGTAATTTGAAAGTAGCATAACTGAGCAAGTTAATGAGCACCAGCATCACTGTAAAACCAACACTATGTAAAATGTTAAATAAATGGAGGAATAATGTACCTGAGAGGGGAAATGTTGTAGAGATCCAGATGAATGCTGCCACAGGAGCACAGTCCAGGCTCTGCACACTGGTGCACATAAAGTAAGGTGGCATTAAACTGTAAATTAAACATAATGAAACAAGTTTACATTAAACATAAAACAAATGAGAGTGTTTTTATGGTTAAGATGTAATCAATACATTTGCACTCAGTGTACTAAATCTTTTGCAACACTATAGCTAACTGGTGCCATGCCATGCTCACTCCATTGACCCGATAAATCAAGATGGAAGTGAAGAGTTTTACTTTAACATAACAGTTTCCATCCATCATCTGGAGCCGCTTATCCTATTCAGGGTTGCAGAGGGAGGGTACAGGCCCAGTCGCCAGAAGAAAATGCTGGCATTGCATGTTCCATGATAGCCGAGGCCGGAGGCATTATGCTTTTGGGTTGTCCTTCTGTCCATCTGCCCATATGTCCGTACATCCATCCATCCCATTCTTATGAACGTAATATCTCAAGAATGCTGTGAGGGTATTTCTTCAATTGTCCACAAACATCCACTTGGACTCAACAATAAGCTGATTAGAATTTGGGGGTCAAAGGTCAAAGTTCAAGGACACTGTGACCTTGCATCAGTCTGATTCTCATGAACCTGATATCTCAAAATGAATTCAAGAGAATTTCCTCACAGTTTGCACAACATTCACTTTGAGTCGAGGGTGAACTGATTACCTTTTGGTGGTCAAAGGTCAAAGGTTAAGGTCACTGTGACTTCATCCATTGCATTCTTGTGAACACTTGATGTGACAGAACACCTCGAGGGAATTTTTTTCAAATTTGGCACAAACAAATGGTTGGATGGAAGGATGATCTGATCAGAATTTAGTGATGAAAACTCAAAGGTCACTGTGACTTTACAAACATGTTTAAGCCATATCCCAAGAGTTCATATGCCAAATATGACAAAAATCAAATTATATAAAATGTCAAACAGGATAAAATGATAAAGTGATGACATTTTACATCCAAAAGGTCAAAGGTCAACTTCACTGTGACATCATAATGTTTGTAAACGTAATTTTATGTCCATTATTTAACGTCATATCTCAGGAACAGAAGGGGAGACATTTGGTCAGATACTGAATTTGTGACACTTTACTTGGGAGTCCACCGTGAAACTGTGCCAATTGTATAGATCGTCTGTGCTGTCAGGGGAAGATGTGTGTGAAGTACATGTTTTCACTGACATGAATGTAAATTGTAAGAGAAACTTAAACTGGTGCACGAACACAAATAACTGCAAGGTGATAATTATAATTTGCTGCGTTTCCTGTCAGAATTGTATCCCAAACAGGGTATTCTGAGCCAAAACATGATGTTTCCTAACCAAGTGGCTTTTGTGCCTTATTTCTAACCACAGCATTGCTGAAATGTAAAATGTCAACGTATCTGTGACATAACAGTAACTTGCAAACGTAATCCATGGTTTGCCGAAATACACAATGGCACTTTCTGGCGACTGGGGTGGGGTTGAACCCTGGACAGGTCACCATGACTGACACATAGAGAAAGACAACATTCAAGCTCAAATGCACACTGATAATTTAGAGTCATCAGTCAAGCTAACCTGCATGTCGTTGGACTGTGGAAGGAAGCCAGAGAACCTGGAGAAAAATCCATGCGGACACGGAAAGAACATAAATACTCCACATAGAAGCGCCCAGGCTGAACAGCGGGTTCAAACCCAGAACCCTCTTGCTGTGGGGCAACAGTGCTAACTACTGCTGCTGCCCACAGAGCAGTTTGTCATAGTCTACAGAGTTTACATTGTCACTTTAAATCCCTTTTTTCGTAGAACATTTTAGAAACTTAACAACAGAAAAGACCAAAAGGAGAAGGCATTTTCCTACTGTAGCCGTAATGTGGGAGTTTATATCAAGTCAAAGTGACACGCATGAAGCCATCTGGCTGACATGCCATCAGCTTTTGTTGTAACCTTCACAGTGACTGAATTATTGAACAGTGCACCTCTGAGACACTTTGCATCTTTTGTTGCAGAGCTGTACAGGGCAGGTAGTCTTCACTCTACATGTATTCAACTTGTTCTGCCTGCCTGTGTTACAGGTTGAGGAGTAGTGGAGGGTACTTTCTGGAAGAATTTAATGAATTAAATATTCATATAATAAGCTTTACTAACTCTTCCAGACACTCGAGCAGCATAGCTCTGGAGATGACGGGGTCAGGAGGTTTTTCAGTACACTTCGTTCATCCAGATGGAAATATCTTGATCAATACAAGATGGATTGCCATTAAATTGTACACATTCATGTCCCCGGAGGGTGATTCATAATGATTTTTGTGATCTGCTGACTCGTCCTTTAGCACTCTAGTGTGTGGCAAAAAAGTAAAGTTATGGAAGTTTAGTTATGGAAGTTTAGTTATGGAAGTTGTGGCTGAGAATCCCTCCATCCATTTTTGGTCACTTTTGTGGGTCAGAGTTGTACTAGCTTCACAAGAAAAGAAGAGTTATAAGAAGAGTTGATTGGTCACACTGTTTCTAACATGCAATGCATTATGGGAAGAGGAAATTTAAAGAGAAACTGAGAAAAAGAGTTTTTGTTTCTAAAGGTGAAGTACTGGCACTCTCTGGACTCCTGAAAGTTTGCTGGGTGCCTCAATGAAATGTATACGGCTGCACACAGTGTATCCTCATTAGTAAAGCAGCTGTAGAGAGGATGGTTTGATCCTGGTGTTAATGTTTTATTCTGTCTCTGTCTCTCCAGGGAGTTTTCCCAGCGAGCTACATTCACTTGAAGAAAGCCATCGTCACCAACAGAGGGTAAGTTTACCAACCTCTAAAGCCAAGTGCACACCACACGACTTTCAAAGACGTCAGATCGCTGCACTGTTCACACTACACAACCTGCTGTGTCTTGGGGTCATTGTGGTTCTCACACAACATGACTCAGCAGCGACAGGAGGTTACACGCCACAAGATCTTTCACCAGGATCTTATACCCAGATGAGTATGTCATGTGGTGCGCTGGTCAAACCACAACCTGTGTTTGGGGCGTTGCTTAACCAAGAGTGACAAAGCAGTTTCTGAGTACATTTTTAGGCTAAAAATCTACAGAGACATCAGTGCAACAGTCAACCTACTATCTTCTCCCGTAACTTACACTCTCATTGGCTGTAGCTTGCCAACAAAGTCCCAGACAGATCCAGATATTCAGCATGCTAGATGAGCAAATGAGCTGAAGATCAGGGCTAAATCTGTGTGTGTGAACTATGCATCAGACTACACCAAGCACAATCCCTCTACATAACCTCTGGGGCTGCTGTAGTTCTGGGAACGCCATAAGAGGAACTGCCCACTGAGGAGCTCCCTAAAGCACTAAAAACCTAGTCTCGCCACCAGACAATCAGAGATCTCCGCCTTCTGATAGTCTGGGGACACTCCTTTCTAAAGTGTGTTTAACACACTGGAGAAAACGGCCAGCAACAAATCAACGCCTCTTGCATTTTTTAAAAGGACACGCCCTCCCGGAAATGTGCGCTCCCCCTTTTCTCGTCCGCAAGGAAACAAACACACAGAGAGCTTGAAAATGGATGCTGAGAGATTTAACTCTGTTTTCTCAAACATGTTCTCAGTCCACAAGATTGTGGAAATGAAGGACTTACAGCGACTTTGTTTAAAACTTTTAACGCAGTCGGATTATGTTTACGAGCACAAGAGTTCAGCGAGCCACCGAAGGACCGCCCTGCAGATTTACTATTGGTTCTGCAACGTAGGGAGTTTTTTTAAACTCTGAAATTGTATCCGCCCATCTAAACACAAAATCAGGGAGAAAGACATCAGTCTTTAGTTAAGCAAAGCGTCTAAAGACTGACTTGTGAGTCTACTAAAAACCTTCAAGGGTTTTCTTCTGTTTGCATTCATGCTGCTAATAGGAACACCAAAGTGACATACTATCAGCTGGCTGGTGGTTAGCAACATCACTTTCGCTTTGACAGGTCAAGATCAGGTATTTCCACTATCATATATATATGCTCAGTAAAGCCTGGACTTCACTGTCTGGCCATTTGTCCAACCTCTCTTCCATTTCTTCTTTATGAGCTGTTGTTTGTGTTTCGTGTTCTTCTGTTGTTTACACGGCTAAAGTGTTTTTGAAAATGGCGATTGCTAGTGTTGTATTGTCTGTGTTTAGCCAGCTAGTGTACACTTATGTCACTCATGGTTCCTCTTGTCTTGGGAGAGACCCTACTCTGAAATAGGAGCTAAAAAAAGTCCCTCAAAACGGCGCTCTAAGTACTCCGATTGTTCATGCAGTGCGGAAACAACAAAACAGGGGTTCTCAGAGCTATGAAAAAGTTCCTCTGTTTCAGAAACGCCTAATGTTCACAGTGTAAATTTATCTAACACCTGCATTTCCACCAATGTCATACTTTTGCCTTTTGGGGACCAAAAGAAATGTTGCACATCATGGCAACAAAGCAATGACCCTAATTTTTCCTTAATCTCTTGTCACTTATCCAAACATTGAGCATGAGTAGCCAAAGGTGCACCATGTAAGAGAGCTGATGGGTGAAAGAGGGAGTCGACATTAAACCAAGCACAATGTGAGGGGTATAAAAACAGTAGAAGTCCGAGCTGCTTCACACTGCTGCTGCAAACAACACTAATAAACTGCTTTCAGATTCCTTTGAAAACTGAAGGACATGGTTGTTGGGACCAAGGACGTCAATAATTAATCATTTAACTGCCAAGAATATTGTTGACAGGTTAGGCATGTTGATCTATAGGTTACTTTACATCCACATGCACACAACACAGCAAATTTCAGCCACTTGCACACTGATTACCTGCTACAGACAGACACAGTCAGAGACACACAGCCACTGATTGGTTTGACGAAGGCATCATGGACAGCTAGTGGAGCTAACAACAACAATAATTAAGCAATATCACACGAGAGGGAGTGATGTTATACTCGTATATCATCACAGCTGTGATTCGGTCATAGGCACGAGGCTGCAGGCAAGGCTGATTAAGAAATGTTGAAAAATGAGGACAAAATAGATAATTTAAGCATTTTTTTTGTCTTCCACCAACAAAAATAGTTCCCTCAGGACTCCGCTGTCACCGTTGCTATGTATCGCAGACATGGTGCGCCAGGCACTTACTCTTTATCCACATTTATCTGCACATGTCCATTAATTGTGCAGCCGGTGAAATAAGTCTCTGGTGACTGCATGGTGGACTGTGGCTTCACAGGCACAGCCGACTCTGCCTTCTGATCTGACACTATGTTGCTTTTCTCCAAGTCATTGAGCTCCGCTGATGAAACACTGACAAACCTGGATATGTGCTCAGATGGATTCAGCTTCTCCTCTCCCTCATCTTCCTCTGATGACCATTCATAGTTCAATTCAAAACTTATTTTAGGAAATAAATCCATATTTCTGGCTGTTTGACAGTGGATGAATTAATTAGCCTACAATGCAACTGCTGACCTAACTGACACTAACCGTCAGTTTTGATTTGATTGTTGATTGCAATCAGCTGTGAGGCGGAGTGATACATACACATTGAAATAACCGTGATGTTGTACTCCAGTATCATCACGGTTTTACTGTCTCGCGACCAATCAGATTGCAGGGCCGAAACTAACTGTTGTATAACTGTTTTTAACACGGAAAAATGGGTAAAAAATCACAGAAGACATTTGGTGTTGGATTTAACATTATGGATTGATTTTACAAAGTCTCCAAAAAACACCACAGTTCATGGCTGGATTACAAAGCTTCTGAAAGGGATACGAATATGCCGGAGCCCATGTTGGGATGGCACATGACAGTTAGCGTTAACTCCTTGGTTAAAAAAAGTAATTGTCTCTTGGATGTGGTATTTCAGAGATATTTAATGTTGGTGATGTTAGGTCTTATACGACACTGTTACCACCGGAATTCAGTTCTTTATTGTCCAGCATGTCAGATTTTTCTCATCAGTTCTGTCCAACACTTGGTAGTGAGACAGACCCGCACATGAAGCTCAACTGGAAAAGTTCCACCTCAGTGATAGACTATACAGTCAATTTTTTAGATAACATAACATTTATTTTTCACTTGCCAGACTGGACAACTGCATGAGTAATTTCTCTTGCTCAGACACAAATTTACTATTACAAATTACAAATGTTGCGATGGGACCTGACGGCACCCATCGGAACCCAACAGCTCGGGCCAGGTTCGGATCAGAAACTCTGCTCGGGTTCGGCTCACTTGACATGCTGGAATTTGTCATTTACACACTGTTCATGTGTGATCAAGGTAAACAGACAAGCTGTTACCATGATAACAATAACTATGTCAGGTAACAAACTGCTTTGTGTCAGGTTCCGACGTAAAAATCAGGCTGGCGGGTTCAGGCCGGGCTCGGTTATAACTGTCTCAGAGTCGGGTCGGGTTCGGTCAGGAAAATGTGGCCTGAGCCGTGCTCTACTGGGGGCGTCACATCATATCCAGAAATACAGTCTCAGTTAAGAACATTTTATAAGGCTGAATACCCTTTAACCAAACCTGGTGACATGTTACAGCGTCATATTTCACTGATTACCGCAGAAAGAACGGTTAAAGCTGCTCATTGCTTCGAGGAAAAAATAAGTTCATTATGTGTTTTCTTTGACAGTGTCTTACACACACAGTTATTATTTCAATTCCAAGATGAATGAGGCCCTTCAGCCTGATGGCCTCGCCTTAGAAACTCAAAGAATCCAAATCAATTTCAGCTTGCAGATTTCAAACACAACATCATTTCTCTCCAGTGTGAACCACTGATGTGAAGCTGTTAAAAAGATCTTAAAGTGCTTCGTGTAGACGGAGCGGTAGTGTACACTGTGTGAGCGTCATACACAGGACTTTGGTGTAATTTTTAAACAGCAGTAGGATATGTAGTGTCTTTATGTCATGGCAGCACTGATGTGATTGTCTAAGACAATACAAGCTTAAGTCTCGTCAGTCTAAGATGATGCCACAGTTGAGTGTACTTTATTTCCACAGTGCCGGGAGCTTTTTTTTCCCGTCCTAGCTGAAGCCATTTAAGGGCTAATTTGATGAAATCTGGTTTTCTGTTGGGATCAGTTGTTTTGAGACCCATTCTCTCTAAATAAGGTATGAACCTCCTCGTTTCTGATTCCCTTCCAAGTTCAAGAGCACATATTTTAATACATTTACATAATGATTGGAAAAGCTTTTTTTTCTTCTTTTTTTGAAACTCAAGATTAATCAGAGTTACAGAGCGTGTCTCGATTTGCATAAGAGTTTTTTAATTAAAGGCACGAAGAGAGTAAATTAATTGGAATTAGTGAATCCTTTGCTGTTTCAAGTAGACCTCCAGGGCAACAAAAGAGAGCGTTTGGAGTGGAGAGCTGGAGTGTATTTCACTGAATCTGGGCGGCTGGTACATGATGACAAATACAGTTATGGACTACTGACCATGTGGGTCTGAATAGAGTGTGTGTGCATACTTCACTGCTTTGTTCTCTAACTCTAACTATAAAGACAAGGCTACACAGTGCGGCCACCATCAGTGTAGCAGAGAGGAAGTGGAACTCAAGCAAAGGTGATTATTAAAAAAATTACCATGCCATATTAGTTTAGAGGCTTTAGTCTAATGTGTGTAAACGGCCAAGCAGTGACAGATCAATGCATACTACAACACTTATTATATACTCCTGCACTTTAACTTGAAAATTGTGACGGATAAATGAAAAAAATGAAAAAAGGCTCATAACTCGTTTATAAAATGCTCTAAAAGAAAGAACATTTTGTTGTGAAGTG